ATGAAAAGTGTTGATAGATTTGATTTAATGTTTGTGCTTAATGCTTTGAAGTATTGAACAGCCATGAAGAATGAACACTGAATGTGTCGGCATTGAGTTAATAACTGATTAAATATGATTTCTCATTTGTTATTAGTTTTGATTTCACGCATCATCTAGAAAAATGAGTGAATGCAAAAATTCTCTATCAAAATTTGAAATAGAAAGTGTTTCAAATAATTCATCCCGTTGTTTATCAATAATTTTATCCTCTAATCCTTGCTTCTTGATTGTATTATATAATTCTTTATACATTAAAAAGTTTTTTAAATAATCTTCTGCTTCTTCTTGTGATAAATAAATAATTGGAATTTTGATTAAATGCTTTAAAGATTCAAATGTATCATCTGAAGGTGAACCTGAACGGTTGATATAATTAACACATGTGAATAGGGGGAAGTGTTAGCAATAATGATAATTTGTTTTAATATCGTTAATGTTTTACCTTTATTTTGTTTACCAATTGCTGCAGTGATTGAATTTAAGTAACATTCAGAATATGGAATTTTCATTAATTTTTCCTTAGATAGAGCATTTCTATTATCACTCAATGCTTCATTAATCATATCGTCTACGTATGTATTATATACTCCTGCTAATTCTTCATAAGGGGTGGATGAATTTAAATCCATTTAATCAAAAATAAATTTATAATTTTAAACATTTCTATTCATCAATATTTCATCATATGAACTTCTATACTGTGGTGGTGTACCTGTTGGATGATATTTCAAACCTTCGTCCGGTGTCCATGTCCAATATGTAGTCCTAGTAAACCAAACCTGAGGAGGATTTGTCACCTTTGAACAGTAAGTGTCATTTTCACCCTGAATGATTGGATAAGCTTTCACTTGTACTGTAACTTGTGAGTTGAAAGTTTCTAATCCATCAAAGAATATACCCGCTCCATCACGTTGAACTGGAATAGTGCATAAGAATGAAGTTTGGTCTTTCCATGTTCTAGCTAATGGTGTGCCATTATCATCATTCAGTGGTCTAGTTAATGAGTCCTCGTATTTTCTGTGCATTCATTCACTCCATCTAAATCAGAAGCTTGAAGCATACGTGTAAAGAATATGTCGCCCACTGTGGTCATCGCTTGATCGGGGAAGTTTCTGGAATCTATAGTGACCTGAAGACCTCGAAGCATTGGATTTTCTAAAACCGTTCTTTGCATTGCATTCTTCGGAAATGTTAACACAACATCTGTAACATTATGAAGAGCGTATGAGAAATCTGAGCTAATACCTTCAGGAGTGATGCAACCTCCATTTAGTGAACGAACGTCAATATGTTGAGCTGGAATCATGAATGGATCTTCCTTACTGAATAAACGTGGTATTGCTTTAACTGATTCTTCAATTAAACCGTATCCTGGTGTAATGCATTTATCCTCTAAAACTTCCATCTTTGTGCATGAAATAATAACGTTATCAACTGTTGCGTCAGCAGATGTAGCGGCTAAGCTTGTAATTAATTTGGTAGGAAGTCCGATTTGTTGGAATTTGCGATCATATTTAAAACATGATTCATAATCTTTTCATAATTTTCATCAGTTATCTTTCATAAACGTAATTTTGTAAATCAGCAACTCTTAACGGGTCAACCTGACAAAATAAAAGTATCCCTGAAAACATAATATTTAAGAATGATATCACAAATGATTTAGGATAATCATCGAACGCCTGAAATGCTAAAAATCATTTACCGGAATAATCATATCAAAAGTGATATCAACTTCTTCATTTGCGTTTTGAAAACTTCTGAAGGGTCAATATATTTACCACATACTGAGTTATCATTTTTTGAACATTATTATATAACGAATGAACAAACTTTTTAACTTTCCTTTCTGATTTTGGTTTATATGTTGCAAATGCGAAAGATTCACGGGCGCAATCCATTTGAAGATAACCGGCATCACCTCTTCAGTTTCTACTTCTAATTGTTTAAAGCTTTGATTTGATGATTTGTAACCAACGAATAAACGCATGCATTTAAAAGCGGTATCACATGTGAAAGCTTTATTTGAAACTAGAGTTGCTTTAACTTTGCGTTTAATATATGTGTCACCTAATTGGTTCACATCATGAGCTGGGTTTGTAATTCTTAAATGAGTTTGTTTATCATCAAAATATGGAGCATCAGAGTCATAGCATGAACTTTCAAGTTCTCTATAATATCTTCTACCGTCATTCTTTGCGAATATTTCATTTATCTTTTCGAATGAATGAAACACATTTCCATTAATTGGTTTAGTGTTTGGCACCAAATAGTTAGTCGTCATTTATTAATAAATAAAAAATCAAAATTAAAAGATGAAAATGAATTTTTAATTTTAATGAAATAATCAACTATGGCTGCAGGTATATTTAAGAAACTGTGGGATAAAGTAAAAAGAGGAGCGCATAAAGTTTGGGAAACAATGAAGAAAGGAGCAAATTGGATATTTAAGAATAAAGAAGCAATTAGTGACGTTGCTGAATCAATAACACCAAAAGCCGCCCCAATAAGAGAAATATTAAATAAAGGAGAAAAAGTTTATCAAAGACTACAACCGATACTAAGATAAAAATAATATTTATTTTTCCACTATCTACCTCCTATTTTATTAAGTATTCCTTCAGCAATTCCACCAACTGCGTTACCTGCTTGTGCTCCCATCGCCGGATTACCTGCTTTAGTACCTAATACTCCACCTATGATAGTTCCTGCCGTTTTCGCTACTGGTGCCAAAAAGTTTGCAACGGGTTTAATAATCTTTTTATAAACCCAACCCACAGCTTTCTTAATTCCATCCCATAATTTTTTAAAGAATCCTGCCGCTATTTCTGATTTAATATTAATTAAAAAATATATTTCATCACTTATATTCTAATTTTTATTTAATGATAAATGAAACCGATTTTAAAAATAAATGAAACAGAGGAGGAAGAAATAAATGAAGATGTTCAACAAAAAATAAACGTTGTTAAACCAATTACTGAAATAAAAATTTTTTCATCTGTTGAAGAATTTAATGACTATTATGTTAATAATAAAAAATTATTTGAAGAATTGACAACGTGTAAATTGAATAAAATGTTTAAAGTCGATGGATTCAAAATTTCAAAAATAAAAGGAGTGGTTAGTTTGAAATCTATTCCTCAATCAAGAATCACCTCATTAATGAAAATTGATGATTTAACAAAAAGAATAGAAGAGATTGAAGAAAGAATGAATCAAATAATTGATTTCATAAATTCAAATAATCATTAGTTTCTTAAATAATATATCCTTTATTTCCTCGTTTGTGAATCCTAATGTTTTCACGTCGTTAGTTTTGACGCTCATTTCATACGAATTAAAAAATAAATTATTCAAAAATGTAAGACATGAATTTTTAAAGTTTATTTTTTTATTTTTTATTTCATTATGGTAGTGAATCTTTTATTCATGAAAATAATTATTTCTAATTTCTTTTACTCTCTCGTACATACTAGATTTGAAGAATTCGGAACTTTTACCATAATCTCCTAAATGTTTTCTTATCCCTAACGTGTGCCAGTTATTATATGAAACTGAATAAACTTTATCTTTATCTTTACACCTTTCATCACTTCCAATATATTTATATCTCAGTTTTGATTTAGCATTTTCATATTCATTAACGTTTAATAATTCACAGTCTTCCTTTTTAAATAAATGTTTTATGTATTCAGGATTTAATACTCTACGTTTATATGCTCCTAACTTAGTTCTAAAGGTTTTTCTACAAAATTTAGGAATTCCATCCTCTTTAATGTCATCAATGATTTCCATTTCATTATTTTCAATTTCTTCTTCTCGTTTATGAGGTCTTTGATTATGACTCCATTGATTCCATGAAATTAAATATTCTTTATCATTATATTTATACCTCATTAGCTTATTTTGGCTTTCATATTCATTTAATAATTCACAGTCTTCCTTTTTAAATTGAAGTTTAACCCATTCAGGATTTAAACAATGTTTAATTAATCGCGGAATATCTGACATCATCTATATATAGCTTCTTTTATAAAAGATAAAATAAATTATTTTAAAATTAATATGTTAATTTTTTAATGATTTATAAATAAATATATTTTAATGCATCGTCTATATATAGATGCAACAAAAAAAGTCACACAACCCATCCTATCCTACTACTAACAAACAAAAATGAAAAAGATAGGAATAGCAATGAATAGTGATGTGGGTATAGAAAATGTAAGAGATATGAATGCAAAGCAATCAGTATTTAGGACATTGACCATAGATTTCGAAAAAAAAATGCTGCATATTGAGCGAAAACTATGATTATATTATAAGGCTGTCCTTTAAAGCATAATGAAACTATTCCTTTTCATTTTAATCGAATAAGATAGTAAAGATTTTTGAATTAGCTAGAAACTGATGAGATGTTTTCACAAATCAGATTTTTAATCTCTATAATGCATAATTCACTCAATATCTCAATTTTGATATTGCGAGATATTTTTGCTATCGGTTTCGCAATTTTGACACAATAGCAAGAGGTTCTATAAGCATTATTATCAACGTAGAATCTGAATATCATATCAGAAAATGTCGCAAATCTGACATTTACCCGACCAAATAGCAAAAATAATTGAATACTTTTCGCAAAAACTTTAAAAATCGATAAAAATATGAAATATAGATATTAAAGAGACTTTTTATATAATATTCATAAAGATTTTCCAAAAATATGATACCGCAAAATTAAAAAAGTGACGTCTTGAGTGGAGTCAAAGGTCGAAATTGCTAGCCAAATGTTTTTTTAGCGAAATTGCGTATTGTACGTTTTTTCGCAAAACGAAACCCTTAATTGCTGAAATGTAACATGTTTTAAAAATGAATCCTCTAGTTAAATTAAGACTTCTATGAAAATGAAAAATAATTTTAAAAAAAATTGAATTAAAAATTTAAAAAAGAAATGTTTAGGCCGTCATTGACATTAAGCAGTTCGTTGTCATATTTTCATTATAGTCACAGGCTTCAAATACTTGTAATGCAGTAAATTGGTCAACTCCGCACTGCATACATATTCTACGAAGAGCTTCTTGTTGTTGTGGTGTTAAGTTACGATTCAAATTCATATTCTGGCCTTGGTCTGGTGGTACTCCCATGTCCATGTCTAATGGACCAACGAAATTAGCAGCAGGGATTCCTTCGAATACTTCAGGTCGACCGTCCATGTCAATATCTTGGTTTAGTGGCTGCATTAATGTAGCAAAGCCTGGTCTTTCTGGATAATTATCGTCATAGTTATCATAATAGTTATCTGAGTCGTAATCAACATCGCCATCTGCATCTGGAACACCATTCTGGATATTGTTCATTAATTCTGCAATTCTGGAGAAGAAATTTGGATTTTGTAACATTTCGTTCAAACTAGAAGGTCTATCAAAGGCAATTGTATGTCCACCTGGTAATGTAATGTTATTTCTATCAAGGATAATATTATTAAACATCATTCCCTTAGATTTTGGTTTTTGAGCAAGATTTGTTTGGCAATCAGTAAATTTAAGCTCGATTCCACTAAATGCATTATCCACTCGTGGAAAAGACTTTTCCTGATACATAGAATTATTAAACATTGATAAAATTTTATTTGGTTTGAAAATTTCGCTTGTGAGTCGTGCATCATCTTCTAGTAGTTTTCCGTTAGTTGAAAACTCGCATCTAGACGTATCAAGGTTGTATTTTGTTTGTAATAACTTATTTAACTGAATTAATGACGTATTCTCTTCTAACTCAATAGGTATATCTAATCCTGTGAGATCAACAACTCTAAAAGTAAAGGTTTTTCGTTCATTTTGTGTTTCACTCATATTTGTTCGGGAAAAATTTTGAAAAGGTGACGAAAATTTAATAAAAATATTCCAAAGTGGAGTTACAGGCGTGCATTAAAAAATTGATATGCACAAAATGTCATGTATGCTTATACAGCTTTTTCCATAAATTTGCCAAAGTTAATAGCTGCTGTAAGACTAGCAAATATCGAAATATCAGCGTATTTTGTTGATTCAATTGAAATCAAATTTAAATAAAGTATTAAATATTTTGTATTTAAATTAAGTGTTAAATAATATGATTCTTTATCGTATAAATTGTTATAGTTTATAATTCTCATGCAGTAGCTCTAAAAAGTGACATCAATACTAAGTATGGGTTATCGACCACAAACTCCCAACTGGTCAAACGCTCCACAATTTTTCCCACAAGTACCTTTGCAGCAGAATCAATATTCACAAATGGCAGTAAGGAATGAAACAGCAATTGCGCAAATAAAATTAATTACATTGTCACAAAAGGATAGAGCTGAAGCAATTCAATCACTATCTCATCAGCGTGAACAAATTCCTAATATAGGAGTTTTGTTATGGGAATCACCAGCTTCTGTTGCTGCTTTACTCGAAGAAATTATTTCTGTTGTACCACACATTGCCGCAATTTCTAACTCACCAGTTACAACACAAACAACTATATCTAGCAATCACGCTGCTAGAGTTTGCTATGCTCTAACTCTTTTTCAATCAATTGCAGTTGCATCAGATGAAGTACGTACTCAATTTTTAAAGGCCGATATACCATCATATCTAACACCATTCCTCCATACATTAAATCAAAGTCGTGAATGTGAGCACTTTAAGCTTGCTTCTCTCGGAATTATTGGAACCATTGCAATGTCAAACTCCCAAGAAGCATTTGACTATTTGATTTCGAAAGATTTTGTTCCTCTTTGCTTACGCATCTTGAAATTCAGCAGCGAAATCCACAAAATTTTTGCATCTTATATTATTCAACGAATTTTATCAACACAAAGAGGAATCGATGAGATTTGTAAAGATGCTGAAAAAATAAAGTCTGTACTGGATGTTCTCTACAACGAAGTCAAAATTCTCGTTGTAAATTACAATCCAAGAATTGTTCGTAACATCATCTTCGCTTACCAGTATCTATTTCAGTCGAAGGTTGCTGTGAGTATTTTGAGCCAATATCAATTCGACGAATTGGATACTTTAGCAAAAAGTCAGAAGTGCGAAGAGTCTTTCTTGAAACTCATTTACCAACTTGTGAACCACCAGTTCGCCTGATATTCCTTGTTTTCATTTTTGATTTTTGTTTTATTATAAAATATTAATTATTTTAATTTCCTCGCTTTTCTTTTGTTTTTCGAAAAATTTGATCTTGTACTTGAAAATAGTCATTTAATATCAACCGAAATCGAAAAATAATTTCATTCCAAGATTTTTTCGCATAATTTTTGATCAAAAACGTATGAATTGGAATTTGTATAAATGATTAAAATGAATATTTACAATATCAAGCATAAAAAATAAGAACTATCCATAAGATAATAATTCCTGAGAAGAAATTGATGGAATGATCCATCCAGCAGGACAGCAGCAAACAGGATCTGCAAAGAAATCGATCTCGCTGGGTTCAAGACCACAGACAGCTCCATCTCTAATTTTCAAGTCAAGTACGTTGAAAAGGTTAGGCATGTCATATACATTAGGGTCAGCTGAAATACCAACTAAGTTTCTTGGGATAATTGGTTGTGGGGTCTGAGAGTAATTAACTTCAGGAATTGATGTGGTCTCGGGACTTGATGCCATTTCAGGACTTGAGGCCGAGTCCGAACCACTTGAATAGCATGGTGTGTTGATTGGATTGGATCGGATGGTCCAAAAGCGTTGCTCAAGGTAATTTCCCTTTAAAAATGGGATGGCTTCAATTAATTCCTTTTTATGCTGTGTATTTTGTACCTGTACGTATCCGAGTTTGGCAAGAACACCATTAATATTTGATTTAGACTTGTCAGTCAAGATGCGTAATTGTTTAACGTTAATACCTATGTAACTGCTTAACCAACAGACGCCACATACTAGGCATCTCTTCCAGTCATCACTGTCGTTTCTAATACAAAATTTGTGGATTTCTTCTAAGATTAAGTCGAATGTATCTGTTCTCCTAAAACGTTGATATCTCATTTTGTCGGAGCAGAGATTATTTCGTAATTCAAGATATCGCCCACGATCCTCCTCGACGAGAATATCAAGGTAAGGTGGGCTTTCCATTTATTTAACAAGTTTTGAAGGGATGGCTTTCAATAATATTCAATTGATGAAAGGTATAAAAAAATTTTGGGGATCAAAATTTAAAGAATTGGAGATCGCATAGTATATTGAAGAGATTATCAGAGAAATGAACCAACAAATGACTATTGAATTATTCATGTTTTGAAATTGATTTGAATACTTCGACATAAAACTAAAATCGTTAATTATCATTTATTCAGGTAATGGAGATGAATGAATTTAAACGATATTGAAAATGAATTAAAAGAAAAATTGTTAAAATCGTGATAATTGTATTGGATTCTAGAGATAGAAGATAACCTATATAAATTGAAATTTTGACAGAAAATATTATTTTTGATTTAAATGAAAGCATTTATTAAAAATGCATCGATATGGATAAAATAGAAACAATCAACTTTTGTATTAGCGGTCAATTATTGAAAGAGTGATTTTATTTAAATTGCTATAAAAAGAAATGTAGTGATAGTGATTTGATTAGCATTAATATCTATTGTGATGTTATTGAAGATTTTGATCAACGATAAATTTTTCTGAATTTAGAATTTTGTGAAAGCAAACTCTAACCTCAAGTAGGAGAAAAATATTATGAATTAAAAGGTCGATATCCATCAGTAAGTTTTTCGTGATCAAAACAATAAAAAAAAAACTTTTCTTAATTATATACATGGTTGTGATATAATGATGCTATTGTGGATAAATTTCAACAAAGCCAGTTCAATTCAACGACAGTAGTTCTCAATTATCATTACATTGAAATTTTCTTAACAAAATTTCTTAATGACTTAAATTAGAAAAACTTTGTTTATTAATTGTCCTTATTAAACAACCAATTTTGTATAAATATTAATAACAGGAGTATTCAATTTTTTTATTAGATTGTGTTGCTTCAAAAAAAAATTGATGAAAATTTTGATTATTATGTTGTTGATATTTGGATAGCTTAACTAACGTTTGAACTATATTTCGATATCTTATTAGGTTCCTTTCATCATTTTGAGATTCTTTATTGTCTCTTTTTATAACCTGATTATCTATTGATAAGATCCAAATATAGATTTTGATGTTAATTTTTATATATAAGACACTTGAATTCCATGAATTGAATTCATTTACGATTGATATATTCTAAATTAATATGAAAAACAGTTGAAATGATTGTCTTATCTTTGGGTGAGCTATTTGAAATGTGTTTAAGCTAAAATCGCCGCCGAAATTTTTTGGATTAAAATTCATCAAAATAAGTATTCACAATTAATATACATCTGATGTTATGTCTGTTATTAAAGATATCTGTAAAAATAATTATAATAATAAAAATAATTTATGATGAATTTAAGATGGACCATTATAAAATGGTAGCGGTTTGTTTCAAAAAATTTTAGATGAGATTTGCATAGATATAGATTATATGATTTATACTGTAATAAACAGAAATTCATCAAAAGTGACAGCTCTCAATTTTTTGACATTTGTAAATTCTAAATTGAATGAGAAAAATGAAATAATACTAAGCATAATACAATATTCTAGATTTAATTATAATTAGGAAAAGTTAGTTTTGAGAGTACTTTTCATAGGCATATAGAATGAAATCTTCTGAAAAATAATATCACATAAACTCATATTATTTTCTAATATATAACTATTTTATATAAAAATCAAATTCAATGATCTTAAAAGCGAAGGATAAACCTCAAAATTTACGAATATAATGAGTGGGAATAGGCGTAAAGCAAAAATTGATATTTCATATGGTTTTATGATAGATAAGCATTATATTCCCACTCATTATATTCGTAAATTTTGAGGTTTATCCTTCGCTTTTAAGATCATTGAATTTGATTTTTATATAAAATAGTTATATATTAGAAAATAATATGAGTTTATGTGATATTATTTTTCAGAAGATTTTGTGTTCTTCTTCAAAATTTTATTTTTTTTATTAAAAAGAATCTTTACAAAATATACATTTACTTTAATTAATATTTAAAAACGTGCTCTATCAAAAGTTCCAAAAATTCAATATTTTAGCTTTTCTGAGGTGTCACTTTTGATGAATTTCTGTTTACAACAGCTTAACTACCGATATGATATAATGACATAATCGTTGCAAATTTCGGATTATTAAGGGTGCACACGAGAGGATCATGTAAACTTCAGAATTTAGAACCTTATTTTAGGCATTATCTTGGCTACCTATTTAGGCTCGAAAAGCAAAAAATATCAAAAAATACAACTTGACTCCATTATGACCCTTTCATGGAGGTAGTTTTTATCCGCTAGTATTTTCCCTTTGAATCTCTTTACAATTCGAAATCAAATTCAAAACTCAGTAGAAGAAAGGAAGAATCGACTTACTACGGTTGTAATACGAATAAATACATATATTTAATTATTTTTATTTACATAATAATTGTTTGAAGCTCATATTCCATCAAATTTTAAATAAAAACATTAAAATGTTGAAAATGTTCATATATATTTAATAGGGTTTTGGCACTTTATTGAGGAATTACTACATACATAGTCGAACTGAACTTGATATTTTGAAATTTAAATTATTTATCAAAATTAAAATTTAACTTGAAATTTATAATTATTTAGTCATATTTTGCATAATTCTAAGTAGATTTTGTAAAAAATCAAGAAAGAAAAATTTTAACGTGCTTTATTTTTTCTTTTTTATAATAATACATATTATTATATAATTAACATGTTCATAATGTTTCACCCTTTCAAAATATAATCCTCCTCCTCTCAAATAAACGTACATACGGGTGGCCTCTTTTTTCAAAAAATTAAAATTTGAAATTTTGGGCTCAAATATTAGAGATTTTTTCAACCTTCAACGATATATGTTGTCTATATCAGACCTCCTTTCTTTTTGATACTTAACATTGTTCCTAAATCTTAGCCGTTAAGGCTGTTCTGAAAATATTTTTTTTTCGAAAAAATTCGAAAAAAATTCTTAAAATTCAAAAATCCTTAATTCCTGAGGATTTTGGAAAAAAGTTTTTACATGAACATGTGTATATTATATGAAGTATATTGATAAGGTAAAAATCAAATTTTATTGCATATTCATCGAGAAAATAAACTAACGAATCCCTCAAAATTGAGAGGGTAATCCTCCTCCTCTCAAATAAACGTACATACGGGTGCACCCTTAAGAAAAAAATTGAATTTATTCGGTGATGAAAGTCACAAAACATTTTTTTATTATGTGCAGATAATATAATTTATCTACATAATGTAACATGGTAAAAGATAGTTGAAAGATAGCTATCTTTATTAAAATACAAACAGAACATTAATAAAAAGTCCTAAATTATTAATAAATATGATTCTAGTGAGGCTTGATATTGGACAAAACTAAAATAAGAAGAGAACAATATAGTATTCCCTTCAAAATTTTGTTGAAAGAATAAAAATTCTTTTGAGGTTCTTGTGGCAACGGTGGAGGAGGTTCATTTACTGCATTCTGCATATCGTGGAGCTCATCTAATATCATTTCAAAGTTATTTTGAAAATTTGAGAATCTATCATCATAAGTCCTCATCATTTCGTTTTTAATGCTCAATAATTGTGAATTGAGCTTAGCATAATCAATTGGAACATTTGAAACAGGTACTAATGATGTCTGCCTTTCTATTTGCTTCTTTTCAAGTTCTGAAATTTTATTTGCAGAAATGAGTTCGTTTGTTAGTTCTTCTATTTTATCTTTCAGTGGCTTGGTGTGGCCCCATGGAGAGTCTTCATTAGTCTTAAAAAAACTTTTAATCGTATTTTGGTTATCTACAAGGAGTTGATGTGTTTGTTTGAGGTCATTAGTTAGATGTGTAATTGCTGCTTTGAGTTCAATGCATTCGCTTTCTTTATTAGTTATTATTGAGTTTTTACAAGTAAGTTCATCTTGTAATTGTAAATTTTTCGATTTATGCTCATCAAGTTGGAGTTTAAGGTTTTTTATAGTTTCATTTGCAATATCTAATTCATTTTGTAATCTAATAAGCTGATCGTTATTATTTTGAATTTCATAAGGGATAAATGTTGTATTATTAAGTTGAGCCTTTAAATAATTAATTTCAGCTTCATTTTCCTCTATACTATTATTTGCAATTCTTAGTTTTGCTTTGTATTGAAGGCATTCTTCGCTTTTTTTAGTCAGTTTTTCTAGTAACCGCTGAGAACGATTTAAATTACTAGTAACCATCGATGATAGATTGTTATTTAGCGCTTTATCTCCTTGAACTAGTGATTGAAAATTATTATAAAAAGTATTAATCATATTTTGGCGTAAATCCATCTCTCTCTGTAACGAATTGCTCAAATTTTGATAATCAATATATAAGCGGTAGTAGCAGGATTTCATTTCATCAAAATCTTCATCGCCCTCCATAAAAATATTTAGAGGCAAAAATATTTGTTTATGAAATAAGATAGAACATGTGATTCAACATATTTTTCACTTGCAATAAAATTTTGGATTGCTAAATTTTTTAACGATGATAACATCTCTAAATCTTGATCTTTCTCTACAAAATTTAAACAAATTGAAGATAATAGTTATTGATAATAAACTCAGGTTTCTGAAAAAATCTCGAAGTAAAATTGAGGTACCTCAATCTAACTACTGTTATATGCACAATATGGACTGTGTATTAAAATTTTGTTCTCAAATGAATAATGAGTACTGATATTTGGGAATTAAACTTAAAAATAAAGAAATGAAATTATTTGATTCTAAAAAAAAAGAAATGTATTCAATTTTGATGCAGGAAATTTGTTTCTATCTGATATAATATTGCAATCATTGATGAATTCACTCGAATGTGGCTTGTAATATTGATTTTCATTTCTAAATAAATTAAATAAAAATTGATACGACTCTTTTTTATTTCAATGAGTTTTCAAATTTTCATACTTTTTGGATTTATTCTAATTAATTTATATACGATGCTTTCTCCATTCTCGTTGAATAGACTAAAATGTAATATCCTCTTACAAAAAACCAAGCTATATTATATAATTGGACCAAAAAAAACTCGAATGTCCAGGAAGTTCTCCATTTGGAATAAAAATCATTATTTCTTTCCTAAATTAGATTCAAAAGCAATCGCTTCTATCTAAAAATGAGACAATCGCACGAAGATTGTTTCGGATGATGCCAATGGAAAAGAAGGAAAATCTAGAGCAGTGAAAAAAGCATTGTTGTTAAACTGTCGTAACATTGAAACATCCATATATAAAGTCATTTAAAAATTAAATTGATAAAAGATCATTGAAAGACACTAGTCATAATGTTTTTCATAACCAAAGAGATAAATATTCAGAGTCAATAGCAACATCAAGTTTCAATAACAAAAGACTGATCCCACAAATAAATCTTTATCAGTTTCCCTTTAAGATCATTACACCAGACATTGGAAAATTTCTTCCAAATTGTTCAAATATGTATGAAGTAATCTAGATGAAAGACCGACTTATTAACCTATTTTCCTAGTCTTTATATCACAAAAATAATTCTGGTGTATTATATATATTAGTGATTGCCTGTTTTGATATCCCAATTGAGACTCCATCATGAGCTGTTCATAGAGTGTTGTCTTCAGAATAAGCATAGAAAAGTTAAAATATTAAAGAAAATCATAGAGATATTATATCGAAAATTGAATGGTTAATGTTTATTGAAGACATCTAAGTTTATCATTTCTTCGGATACATATTAGTATTGAATTTAAGTAACCAAACATGTTATAAATCATCTGGTGCAATAATCAAGGAAAAATATACGAAATTTGTAAGAAACTTAAGTTTTACTGTAAAATATAGTTATATTGAGTGTTACTTTGCAAATCAAATCTTGGCGAGGTTTGTTGCGCTAACAATTAAATTATTCCATAAATTTAAAAATTTTTGAAATAAAATTTCACGTTCTACGATTTTTGAAGAAATATTTATTTTATTCAAAAGACAAGTCCTTCCTTTTTGAAATATCCAGGGAACAAGTATGTCTTTACTGCATAAGATGTTTTTAAAATAGTTTCAAATGGGCCATTATAATAATTTTGAAGATATAAAACATAAAATAAATGAATCCCAAAATTTTGAATCAATTTTGAGTTTTTGGCACTAGGAAATGTGAAAAAGAACAAATTTTATTAGAATGTTTAGTATTTATTATAATTAAAGAATGCCAAATAGAATGAAATTTTCAATAAATTTATCCGTCATGCCTGGCAGTTATATATAGGGAAATAGAACAAATAACGCTTTGATATTAAAATAGTATATGATTTTTTGGGAAAAAAATGTAATTAAATTTTGGTTTATCAAAATAGCATTTGTTAAATAATTTTAACACAAGATTTAAAAATTATAAAATATGAAGATTGGAAATTTATATTTGGAATGGAATTTTAAAAAAATCATAAACATAGATTTTTGAAGTTTCTTTCAGAAACTAATTATTTTGACATGGCTAACTATAATTTTGGGTAAAGAGTATAAATCCGGATTTTTGTTTTTAGGAAATGTTATCGAATATAAAATTTTGTGAGAAATATTTGAGATAAACCATAAATTTTTTGAAATCTTATTGAATTTTCAAAAATCGGAGTATAGATTCAGAATTGTATTGCAAAACTATATAACAAAGATTAATATTTTGAAACTAAAATTTAGCCTTTCAAAAGTAAATTTTGCCACAAAATCTTAAAAGCAACTTTAATAGAGAATCATGTAATAAGATTAATTACAAACTTTTAAATTGAAGGTCTTATTTAATCCCTCAATTTCTTTGATTTTTCAAAAAAATTTGGGAAGATAAACTTTATAAAAGTCATTTTATAGTCTATATTCGATTGATTTCCTAATGAAAAGTGACAAAAGCACGGTTTTTTATCTCTCAAAATTTGAGCCTAAATTTTGCGGTTTGATTTCTATGCAAGATCATTTTCTCATGGAGAATCCTTGGTTATCTGTCGATATTGATGAAAGTTCTGAAGAGTCATCCGATTCATATTACGGTGTATTCACAAGATCTCCACTAGAAATCGCAAGATCATTACCAAGACCAGTTAATCCAGGATGCCATCAGACTTTCTCCATGAAGCGCATTGCCCAATTTGAAGAATCAGATAGTTCATTCAATGAATCACCAGCATCTTCAAATTTTTCTCCATTTAGATTTACAGAATCATGCGTTTCTGTATTTTAAATTATTTATACGGCTTGTTTTAATTAACTAAATTAACCTGTTTGTATCACAAATTATCTTCTCTTTTCAATTTTTCCACCCTCAAATTTTTCCAAAAATCAAAAATATCAAATTGTTATCTGACGATTCTTGGTAAATCGAAATAATGAAATAAAATTCCTTTTCAGTAAAATATCATTACGGTGATTAATAATTTTACCGTCCAAGAAAATATTTTTCATTGGTAATTTTTTTTTTCACCTTAATGCTGGTATCGGATCCCACGAACTGTGATTCAAATCCTTCGGTGGAAAAAAAAACAATAAAAAATAAGGAAAAAAATTCCAAAAGTCATATAACTAAACAGCATGGCAAACAAATATTTACAAAGAATTAAGAACATTTGTGGGAAGCTCTCTTCGAGGAATTATATTTTCTCGAACATTCTTCTGAAATTCTGGGTCATCGTTAAAGAAGAGATAAGTAGCGCAAAGGAACTCGAATTTTTCATCCAAGAACCTTTGTTTGACTCTTCCACTTCTTTGAAGTTTTCCATCGAAGTAAATGGAAAATTGCTTCAAATGGATATTGGGAGATCCTTCATGGAGTAAAGGACCAATAATAATGATGGCTCCGATCGGAATACGTTTTTTGGAAACGAAAGAAATCATTGGCATGCGAGTCAATTCTTCACCAGTCCAAGGGGTATATTTCTCAGCATCATAGTTTTTCTGGGATGATATTGGTCTGAGAAGTAATAAATTGTCTGTCAAATTTTTCATGTTTTCTAGCTGGATTGTATATTTGTTCACTGCATTTATCAACTCTCCATTATAATTAACAAAGAGAATTTGATGAATTCCGCAAACATCTGTATTTCCGTAAGTATTTTTGGCCAAAAGGGTAATTCTTTGAGGACGGAACTTTATATTAGACATCTCTTCTTGATCCAAACGTCTGTGAATGATGTTCTCGTCATTGATTGGAATTACCATACCAAAATCTTTTGGTAATTCGCCTTTGAATACTTTGTTGTGATTCATTGATACAGATATCTCTCTAATATTTGTAGAGGTATCTTGTAAGTTTGGCCAAACTCTAATTCCTGTTACACGATCTTGGGATTTAACAGAAAACAGGAGAACATGAAAGGCACTTGGTGCTTCTGGTGGCCACTCTTCTTTCCAGGTATTAGAATCTGCTTCGATGGAACCGTGATCCCATAATGCTTTTAATTTTTCTTCTTGCTTTTGTCCGTTAAACATTGCAGTCGAAATTGGAAGCTTAGAACCTAAATCATTAACAAAACTGAGTTCAGCGCATGAAATTGTTGTTGGGTTTCCCCAATTTGAAAAGATCTTGATTTTAATTACAGTTATCATATCGTTTTTGTTAGGAGGGTCGGAGCTAAAGGATGATTGACTGTTATTTGTTGGTGACGATGCTATTAAAGGATTCAATGCTTTTTTAATGTTGATTTTAAGTTGGTTTGTATGTGAAAAACTATTCTTACGGAGTGGGGGTAGGCCATCCTGTGACAGGATATTGCCAACATGTTGAGAAAGAGATGTTTTACGAACAATTTGTGTGCGGAACATTAATTTTTAAGGATCCACTGTAAAAATTGAAAGTCTCTCAAAATTGAGAGGCGATTTGCAAATAATCGTTATCGTCTTTTTTCGAAAATCCACTTTCCCTAGTGTTCTGATTAATATTTTGTAAATGTAACAATGAAGTATATGCTTTAATAAGATGATAATGTATTCTATCACTTCAAATCGCATAAAAATTGCAAAATCAGCGAGTTTTATAAGAACAAGATTTTTTCGAATTTTTTCGCTTTTGGATGCATGTTTTGAAAAATAGATATTTTCGAATTTTGATTTAATTTTAAGTATAAATTTTATATTAGGAATTTTTTTGACCTATTTCCAATCATTAATTCCTAAGTTTTTCTAGGAATTTAATTGAGAAGAAATTAAGAATTTCGCTTTAATGCCATTACAAACTAATATTATGATGCATGTAGTTTATATTTATTGAGGCTAATGCCGGAATATCGTGCATTTTATAAAAAATTCAAAGAATTGACAATTGGATAGCACAAATTTAATTCTCTAGACAAAGTATTATTGTTTATATATTCAAAGCATTATCCTTCGTTTTGAAATGTTGGCCAAAAATTTTCGTGTTATTTTTTGTGTTTCAGCATAAATTATGTATTGACTTATGAAAGATAAGCATTTTATTCATTATCATAAAGATATACCAAAACAAATTGATAAAATTTAAAAAAATGTGTATTTTAGTGGGTATTATTCTGGCCAATGCCCATTTTTAAACGATTTAATATTGACCATATCAATAGCCGACTCAATGTAAAAATTTAGATATTATTTTTTTTATTATTCAAACTTTGATAAATTTTAGTATAATGAATGATTTTGTTTCGTGTATGATACAGAAATGAAAAGCTTGATTAATATCATTTTGCATTTTTTCAAGAATGTTAGAGTACATCTACATTAAAAAATCCGATTCGAATTGCGATACTGCATCAAATTGTTGCACATCTGATAAGGATCTCAAAAGAGTAAAGTTAATTTTTTTGTGTTTTTTTAAGTTTTGGGCCTTAGTAAAAACACCATCTGGAGCAATATTTTTGGGACGACGATAGGCCTTATTTGGCCTTACAGTGGACCCTTAATAAATTAATGATATGTAAACGATACTTTTTATCGTTGAGAAAGAAAAATCGCAAATTTCTATACATTTTTAATATACTATAGTATTACAGTATTTGAATCTTAATAAACGTGCTTTTCAGAAAAATGCATTTCCACGTATTTTTATTATACATGTGATTAGTATGAAATAGATTGTTAATTCAAAATAACACATTGAATATTCAAATTAAAACTTTCAAAATAACGAACTAAAATTCATGGCAATTTTTCCTATGAATAATGAAGAACTTTTAAATTGAATGGATTATTAGTTTTGAATACCGCGATGTAAAACTCATTTTCAATGAAATAATCTTTGGCGAACTGTTGACAAAAAACGATCGAAAACTAGAAGTAATGCTACAAACATCATGTAGATATATTTCTATAATAATGTTGACTGTTTTTCATTTGTCCAGCCAAAAATTTTAGGGGGTTCTTTTCAAAACTGCGCAGAATTTATTTTCGTAAGAATATGCTACGTTCAAAAGAATTATGTGACGAATGTGTGTTCTTTTGGAATGAGAAACTTTTGAAATAAATGGAAAGATTAAAGAATTCTTATTCAATCATTGGTGTTCAGATCAAAATAAATAGAAGAATTAAAAGATTCTGTCTGAATATCAAAATCTCCAAACGTTCTTCCTTATTACCCTATTTTTAACTTGATGAAAAAAATATTTTAGGAAAAACTCTTTAAGATTTTGGAATCCCTATTAATATTAGATAGTTTATAAAGAGTATGTTATATTGTTGTCACATGACAACTGGCATACGAAAAAGGTTTTTTACATTAAATAAAAATGTATTGTTTATTCATGGATATTTCAATCAAATACAAAGTTAATGTGCCAAGAAGTATGAGCAGAATGCTAAACCGCATGCAGCTCCAAGACAAATATATGCTTTTGCCTTCGAAAAATTATTTTTATTTTGTTTCTTCATTAAAGAATGTGTTGTATCAATAGCTTTGATCACATCCCAATTCTTGTATGTTTGGATCTTTTCCATAAGTATTTCACCTGGATATCCAAGAGGAATCTGCATTGCGTGAGAAATGCAAAGATAAAAGATAAATTCGTTGTAATTTGCCTTGTTAAGAATAATTTCATCCCAAAGTAGAAATAATTTTGAAGCACTGTATTCATCTGCAAACATTAACAATTCCCACCTTAAAGCGTAATGAATTGATCCTAGCTCGCTGCCCTCTAAGCTTTTTGTAAGTTTTGGATACATAACCTTGATGCACTGATCCATTTTTTGGAAATAATTTTGAGAATCAGGAACATCTTTAAGTAATCCTGTAAGATTTGATAATCGAATGAATTCCTGTGCAAGTTGAAATGTTAATGCTTCGGCAAATTCGGATGGAAGGCCATGAGTTGAAGTAAAAAGTAAAGTTAATGCGTAAACAACTAAAACGTATCGATCATAGCCTTGTACGTAAGACATGTCGTTGTATGAAAGCATAAGTAGTGTAAGAATGCGTACTGCATGTAAATGAGCATTTTTTATAACATCTGAATTCAAATTAAGCTGCTCTGTAAGTCTTTTGAACATTCCAATACTTCTATCGATATCAACTTTGATAACACGACTTATTTTTGCATCATTGATGGATTCTAATGGATTTGTAAGATTGGTTTGAAAATGTTTAGATAATTCATCGGTATATCTTTTGAAAATCGTATATAATTCTTTAGCTCTATTCTCTTCAGTGCTGATTTTATCAAAAATTAAGAGCCATGAGATCAATCTGAGAGAATTATCTTTGGCCAGATTCTTTAAGCTTAAAAATCTTTGAGCATCTTCTTTATCATAAATAACTCCTTGGTATTCGCTTAATGCTCGGATTACATCAGTCAATGATAGTCTTTCTCTAACCATGTTTTTTGTTTTGAAAATTTTTATGAATTTGTTCGACAATTCAATCCTTATGGTAGGTATCAAAAATACTATTTATGGAAAAATAACTTAGAAAATCCACTTTGAAAGAAATAATTTAAGAAATATGAGAATTGTATTCATCAGAAAGAGAAAATTTGATAAAAAGTATAAAGATCTTCTAAATTAAATAATATTTACCGTTTAATTATTATATCTAGACAACTAGGAAACTCCAAAAAAATTTCAAAATTAAAAAAATGAAGAAAAAATTCTTTGATATGAATTTCATTTTTAGATTTTTGAAAAAAATTTGGAATTTTCATCACTTCAAAATCGTTTTCAAATGCATAATTCCGTCATATATTTGGCTGGAAGGCTATAATTTTCTAAATATGTTATTAATTAGCTCTTTTAATGTTTATAGCTTCTCATGGGTAAAGACAATGTGTTAGCAATAGGACTATTTACAATAAAAACATACAATTTATTCAAGATAGTTTGCAATTTGGGTAATTAGAGTATTAACACGATTTTGGAAATGTGCATGTCTTGCAAGTGCACCTTCAATATCGTATTTGGCAACTGCTGGTTCAGCTTTCTTCTTTGGTTTAGAATGCTGCTCTTGGTTATGATTTTCGCTTGCTGGTTTAGGTTTGGGTACAGATGCTGCGTATTTTTTCATTTTATCTAACTTAGACTCCTTTTTAACGACTTCTTTAACTTTCTTCTTCGGTATTGTTGCTTTATTTTCATTCGCTGTTCTTTTTGCAAATTGCATAATTTTTGCACGCATTTCTTTCTTGTGTTCCCATTCCTCATCATGAGACGGGCCAAGACTGTGTAAATCGTTCAAAGCCTCATCAGCTTTTTGCATACTCTTGTAATCATCAACTGTATATGGCGTATAGCTTGGTTCTGCTGGTTTAGGTATTTCTTCTTTCGTTTGCTCAAGAATGAATTGGACATGTTGACTTTCTTCAAGATTTTCTGGTTCACCTTCGTCATCATCAGAGTAATCATTATCTGGAACATCAGGAAATTCAATTTCTGCAGGACCTTTCAAATCTTTCATGCTTGGAGGCTTGAAATCACTTTTCATTGCTTGAATACTTGGAGGTGTAAACTTGGGTCCATCATCTTCTCTTAGATTCCTGACAGAAGGTGGTTTAAACTCATTTGCATCAGGCTCTTTCATATCTTTAATACTCGGTGGTTTAAATCCGCCATTATCATTTCTAAGATCAGATAAACCTGGACGTTTAAACCCTTGCCCATTGTTAATTATAGCCATGCCTGTTTTTTTCTGTTGTGAAGATGGAATTGGAATTTTGCTCATAACGAAGTTTTAATTTGTCACATTTTTATGTAAACTGGATTTTGTCAAATAATAATTTTGGCAAAAAACCGTCGGATTTGAAAATCTTTCACTTTTTTTCCTGAAGATTTCGAATGCAAGATCTTGCTCGCGAGTTTGATGCAGTCATTATTGGAACTGGTCCAACTGAGGCTTTGGTTTCTGGTGCATTAGCACAAAATCATAAAACTGTCATCAATTTTGATCAAAATACACTCTACGGTGGCTGCCGTAGAACATTTAACATCCGTGAATTCATGGAATGGGTTCAAACAAATGGTACAATTGATACTAATCGTGTTACAGAGTTTCTTGGCGAACAATACAGAGCCTCTGCATTTTGCATTGATTTAGTACCATCAATCATCTACTCTAATGATGCCCTCGTTAAATTACTCATTGATTCTGGCTCAGCAGATTCAATTAACATCACAAACATCGATGGTCTCTTTTTCCCAAGCAATGGTCAATTCCGCCCAATACCATCCTCAAAATCAGCCATTTTTGCTGATAAATTCATGTCTTTAAAGCAAAAGCGCGCTTCAATGAAATTCATTTCTTCATTTTTGTCAACAGAAGAATACGGACATCAAATGAAAAGCGAAGAAATGGATCAATTAATCGCTAGTTACCACGATAAAGAGCTTTCAGCTCTTCTTACTGATATTGGTTTCGATGAAGATCTCATTAATGCTTTTCAGTATCTTGTTGCTGCCGCCAATGGTCCTATTCTTGTTAAAGATGCTATTCCACGTATAGAACAATTCGTTAAATCCATTGGTATCTATAGTTCAAGTCCATTTATTTCATTTTTCTACGGTGTTGCGGATATTCCACAAATATTCGACAGAATTTCAGCCGTCTATGGTGGAATTTTCATTCTCAACAAAACAGCTGATGAAATTACTAAAGATGAAAATGGAGTTTATCATTTAAAGGTTCCAGAGATCGGCGAGGTCACTACAAAGACACTTATCGTCGGAAGCAACCAAATTAAGTATCCAGAAGATACTCCAAAGCGTCATTTGGCCGATAGAGAAGTTCTTGTTACAAAATACGCTTTACTTCCTAAAGAACGCTCAGTTTTAATCATACCACCAGGCAGATATGGCAATCCAAAGCCAGTATGGATCTTCCAGTACGACAAAGGCATGGGAATGGCTGAAACAGGTTATTATGTTATTCATTTCGTTTCAATGGGCGAAACTAAGACGACATCCAACAGATTACTCGAACTCAACCCTGAACTCGCTGAAAATCTTGTTCTCCGTGCAACATTTGAAGTTACAGAATTTGATAAATCTCCTTGTGAAGGTTGCTACTTTGTAAAGTCACCAACTGTTGATGATTTCATCTTCGGATTCAAGTACTTCATTGACCAGGCCAGAGAAATCGTTAAACAGATCGGAGAAGATATTCCTTTCTATCCTCCACCAACTGAGGTAGAAGTTGAAGTTCCTATTGAGGAAACAAACACAGAGAAGAAGGAAGAACAAGAAAATAAAGAAGGAGAAGCTAAGAAAGAGGAAGAAACAAAGAATGATGTTGAAGAAAAGAAAGAAACAAATAACGAGGAAAAGAAAGAATAATCATATAATATTATAATAAATCTAATTTATACTTTTGACATTCTTTAGATTTTTTGCAATAAATCTCAAAATAATTTCATCAAAAAGCATAAAGATACAATTAATATTATCTGCTTTCATGAGAACTTTAGACATATGAGCTGTAATTGCAAACATTAAGCTTCGGGATGAAAATTGAATCACAAATATTCAAAAATGATTATCTTACTACTCAAAATCATCTTAAAACACAATAAAAATCCGAAATATATAGGATAGAAAGATTATTTTATATATAATATATTCAAACAAATAAAATTATCACTTCTGAAACAATAAATTATACAGATAGCATTGCTTCAGTTATGATATGGATAATATAAGAATTATAAGCTTTTTTTTCTGTATTAATATAATTAATTTGGAATTTGAACTGAATGGAAGATCTTCTTGTTCAAGCGCTTCATAAAAACGCTTTGGATAAGCTGAAACATACATAATAGTACAATAGTAGTAGTTGATGTAATAATTGCAATAGAAATATAAAAGACAGGGAGGTTTGGAGGTCTGAATATTGGAGGGTTATTACGTGAGAAATTATTTCCGCAAAGTTGCATGAAATAATTCTCTCTTCCGTATGGAAGAGTCTGAAAACTGCCAATAGCTGGACAATAGTCCTTCAAATACCTTGAAACCTGGCATATTCTATCGTATTGATGTATAACTGCTGGCGCATTCTTGCTTTGGATCTCATGAATGTAAGTATCTTTTCTAGGCATTTCTTCAAAGGCCGAATATGCGGCAGAAATGAAATTTGTTGATTTGTAATCAATAAATACATTGGTATACAATCCGTAATAGTACGTCATCGCCATAATACTCTGGTCACAACAAAAAGGTTGAAAAACTAGGGATGGGCGCATCATTTGTACATAAAAGTTATAAACATCTTTTATAGGACCGTAGATTAACCCTCCATTGATAATAAATTTAAATTCCCAAAAATGTTGATCGAAATTCCTGTAATCTGTTTTCTTCATCCGATTCATGGCCCAATCGTGATTCATGAATTGAACTTTTTCAATTGAAAATACCAATTTGTTTTTTGGTAAATTTTTTGAGAAAGGATCTTTTTGGAATATACTATCAGCTACATCGAGTATTAAAATTCGATTAAAATGATCTTTGTATTGTTTCAAGAATAAAAATTCAATTAATCTTCGTATCAAATTTGGTTCTTTAATGAGATTTGTATCAATTTTTGGCGCAACTAACCATCTGACACCGCAATTTGTCAACTCTTCCAATTCTCGTGGATTAATATGTTCAATATAATCTCTATCACAAAAAAACAGTATTCCGCATTTTCCATTTGAAGAGCGTAATGTTCTAACAAATGTAAGTACATTTACGTAAAATCTATTGAATAAAAACCCAATAACGAGATCATCAGATGTGCTGTCCGAATTTTCATCGATTCTAGTTATGTTACACAGCTTACAATTGTTTTGTTTCGCCGCATTTTTCGTATCGTTGACAATATTTTCGTTGTATAAGAAGTCTATGTCTCCAAATACTTTTTTTGCTTCATCTTCCCATGATTTAAACATCATAAAGTCACCAAATATCTTTAATCTAGGGAAAGAATGAGCAATACTAAATATCAATGGAGAAAATATTGATAGAAAAAGAGAAATCAGTCCAAACATTTTAAAAATATTGGGGCAATCAAAAAATCTGAGGTTGATGAAAATTTTAAAAATATTGGGGCAATCAAAAAATCTGAGGTTGATGAAAATTTCAAAAAATAACAATGAATGGTTTGGATAATTAGAAAGATTTTCATTTATAGTGATCTTTTTATTTATTGTAATTTCAAGTTCTAGAAATCATTTTTTATCTGAAATTTTATCTAATTTTTGGTCAAAATATGATGGATAGATCACATAATGAGCTTAATACGGACAAACTTCAAAATATATAATACAGTAATGATATTGATAGTGAATTTCATCAATAATTTATGAAATTAGCTTATTTTTATTATCAGATTGAGATTTAACAGGAATTATTCTTGGGATGATGTTTCCATTATCCTATTTAGCAATCATTACTCAAGACAATATCGTTGATGGAAAACACCGCGGTCTTAACTTAAAAAATTGAAGATAAGACTGAAATGATCAATGCTAAGTGATTTCTTAATATTTTTGTTAAAGAGTATCGATCATTGATGGGATAATTTCTCTATTGTTGACAGCTCTTTCAACAATGAAAAATTTCTCTAATAAAACGATTTACGTAAAACAAAAATACATTTATTGAAGAAGTTTTCACACAAAACCTTGACTGATCACGACTGAGAAATAATGACAAGATAAAAAGAGTATTTTGAAAATGTAATTAAACGCTAGGATTAAAAATACATTTTGATTTTTAAGATATTCAGATAAAATCAACATTATTAATATCGATGAAAAAAATATTCGAAAATTAGTAGTATGGTGTCAATGGACGTCTTGGCCCATTAGATGAACGCTTTTTCGGAGGGTCAATGAAGCTGAATGTGCATCTTAATTCTTCATCGACCTTTAACATTGCTCCTTTGTTCATGAACTCCTCGCAATAGTCTGGTGCGGAGAATACAGTAAGAACTGTCTGTTTTGGATTGTATGGGAACTCGTATCCGCGGTCAACAACTTGATGAGCTCGGCAAACGAGGTCAAAATCATGTCGTTGTAAGAAATTGTCAACTACATCAGGTCCGTATGAATATGATGTGCCTCTCTCTGATGGTCTCCAACCGTTATGTTCGTTACTCGGATCAGCCCATAGTAGGTCGGCAAGCAAACCTGATTCTGGAATGCGTATTGGTCTCGTAAGCTTTGATATTTGACTAAGTTCACGAAGTTCGGGGGAAAGGCCGCCGTGAACACAGAATATTCTTTCACTGATTACAGCAGCGATTGGCAAGTAATCAAATACATCGGTGAACTTGGCCCACACGTCTTGACTGTAATTTGCTACACACTCATCATAGAAACCGTAAAGGCGAGAAATTTCTCTTGTTTCATGATTACCTCTTAAGAGCCAGAAGTTATTTGGATATTTGACTTTTAAACATAATAGGTATGTGAATGTTTCTACTGAATTCTTACCGCGATCGACGTAATCGCCCATGAATAGATAATTTGTAGTTCCTGGATTTCCACCCATTTTGATGAATTTAAGTAAGTCATAGAACTGTCCGTGAAGGTCTCCTATGATGGTTAAAGGAGCTTGAAGGCTTAAAAGGACTGGCTCGGCCTTCAACGCTTTTATTGCTTCGTTACAGATCCATGCGATGTCAGCAACATCGAGCATAATTCTAGTATCACGAGGCATAGTCTCAGCAGCCTGAAGCTTCGATAAAAGACGATCAAGCCTTGGTGATGAAGATGATTTCAACATCAAAAAAAGTTTTCTCCAAGAAAAAGGGGATCAACAATTTTTTTTTCAAAACTGGATTTTTTTGCCATGTAAAATTTGGGTGGCAAATTTAAATTATAATTATGACTGAAACAGAGGAAAGAGATGAAATTTTCGAGGCTGTTTCCAAATCATTCGATGAGTTAAAAGACCAAAACCCAGATTCAATATCTCTTGCAAAGTTTAAGGAAAAAGTCTCTGATTATATCGAAAAAACGTATCCAGGTAAGCGATATCTAGTTGAAATTGATGAAATTAGAATTGACCTCAAAAAGCAATGCGAAGTTTATTCAACGGCCAATGTTTTGAGCAAAGGAATTTTTAAAAATTATGATTTCATTTATCAAGACTTACGCTATGTAGTAAACATATTTATTCCATATGCAAAGCTAACGGAAGAATATTCAGGTAAATTTACAGCAACAATTCAGGATTAATCAAATTTAAAAGGAAAAACAAACAAATAGTTTAGTCATGTGAAGAGAATACATATTAAAACGATATAAGTTAATGGAGAGTACTGCGCTGTGGCGACATTGTTGAATTTATTGCTAATTGACTTAATTTTTGATCTAAAACATGTGTTGTTGATTCTAAATCCTTTCTTGTTTTTTGCAATTCTTCTATTATATGATCATCATCGCTATCAACATTTTGTAGCATTAATAACTTTTTCTGAGCGGCAACAAGTTCTTCTTCTAACTTTTTCTGTCTGAATCTTGCATTTCTGATAATTTCATCGACTTCTTTTTCTTTTCTAAGTAAAGCTTCTGTGTAATTCTTCTTAGTTTCGCTGACAAAGTTAGTATAATTGAGTGTTGATCCGCTAGCACGCAATCTGGAATCTATGTAATCACTTGTCTTATTCTTTAGTATCTGGGTGAGAAGTTTTTCTGTGTTTTGGAAATATTGGTTATCAATTTGTTCTTTAATGTTACAAGAAGCTGATGTACTGTTAATAAATCCAACCATTTTAGTAATGGCTTTGGAGAGTTCTTCTGATTTATCTTGAATGCGCTTAATTTCATTTGTTTTTTGAATTGCTTCAAAACTATCAATTGCATTGATAGAAACTTGTCCAAATGTATTGGTCATGGCTGATCTCTTGACTTCATTTTGAACTTGCTTATAATTTCGCATGCATATTGCGAAATCTGCATTAAATTTTGTTTTTGTAGAGTTAAGTTCCATGTCTAGATTCATTAATGTATTTTTAAGCATTTGAAGAGACTCTTGAGCATAGTTAAGCTTCTTTTTACCTGATGACACAATTTGGTTGAGTCCGTCATCATATTCATCCAATCTTTCTTGTAGGGATTTAATTTTTGTACGAATTGATGCTCTTTTCTTCCTTAAATTATGATTTTCTTTGTTGATTTCTCGATTTTGAAAGTTGAATTTGGTTTCAATTCTTTGAATTTTATATTCTATTTTATCTTTTGTTAATTCAGCTTCTTGTATATCACTAATAAGTTGCTGAATATAATATTCTCTCCAACTATTGATATATTCATTTAGAACTTCATTTAAGCGATTTGCAGAGTAAAAATTTGATGTTTTGTGTTTTTGAAGCTGTTTTGCAAGACCATCAACTTTCATTTTATTAAGTGCCTCTTTAACAGAGCGAAGAAGATTGTCATAGCGCTCACAAATTATCGATTCTTCCATGTTGCACTAAAATAAACGTCTACTAATTATTTATTTACAGGCGTGAAGAATCAAAATCATTCTTTATTTCCTCTTTAAATTTCAAGAGTGATTGGGTATCAGATATGATATACTGCTTTTGGCTCTGCGATTGATCAGTCATTACTCTGTGAATCTCTGTGATCGAAAAAAAGAGTGATTGATATCATTTTGTCAGGCAAATAAATATTTGAAATGTAACTCAATATCTTTTAATTTCAGCATGATATTCTCATACATAACTTTATTTAACAGCTTCTTATGCGCAATACCAATCTATTTCAAATTTCATATTGTTTCATTCTTTGCATATTTCGAGTCAAATTCTTTTTCACGAAGTCAGATTCATTAGCTCAATCTATTCAATTAATTTTCCTAATAGACACATTGTAATCATAGTAGGTATCATTGCTATTCAATCTCATAAATTTACCTTTATAGCATGACCATGCAAATAAATAATTATCATTGCCGTCTGACGAAAATGATAATTCTCAGACATACGATTATTTTTGGTTCAAATGCCGTTCGGCATTAAAAGCAAAAATAATCATATACCTGAGAATTACACTTTTCCGACATTTTTGGGTCGCTTCGCGCCCCTGACAAAACGTCGTAAAAGTGTAAATTTTGTCACTTTTCCAAAAGAAAATAATTCTTCTTTTATTCGAAAGCCGAAATAATAAGTGTGCTCTTACACCCATCTGACTTTAACTCAAAATCCTGACAATTGGAGTGCAAGTATAATTGAAATAATTAATAAATCGAAAGGCGAAAATTTTAAAGAATAAAAGATAAATAAAAAAATAAACAAAAAAATAAAACAAAAATGAGAGTGATCATTTCCTTGCACCAGACAATTGTACATCAATGTTGGAAAGCATTTGATTGACGTGAGGATTCTTCTTCAGATACATTACGAAATCCTTGAAGACCTCTTTCTGCTTCTTCTGTGCCTTTGACTCAACTTTAGACTTCGCTGCGTCAATTCTAAAGTGACTTGCGAGAAGAAACTGGTGGAAGTACTTCTGGTACTGTGATTTGTACCCTGTGTACCAAGGCATCGATGTCGCGAGTTTGATGAACTTGAAGATCTCTACATAAGCGTCTTCATTTGTTAAAAACATCGCTTCACCTAATTTCTGGAGTTCCTTTGGATTATTTACAATGGCTTCCAAAAAATTCGGGTGGTTGATGACGATTAATTTGATTGTCCTTATTCCACTGATTGAAACAGCAGGGTCTTTCAAGAAAGGAGTGATTTGCATGACGACCAAACGCGATGTGAGCATTTTTCCTGCGCATGGATGCCATAGGAGTCTTCTAAAGGCTTTTAGAAGTGACAGTTTCGTTTGTGTCTCCGTGGAAATGGCCATGAAAGCGATCAAAGTCGATAGAATTTGAGGGAGCATCATTTCCCAGTGTTTTTGCTGTTGGTGGGCCCACATTCGGTTCTGTATGAATATGGATATGGCGTAGATGAAGTCGCACTGGGTCTGCGTCAATAATCCGTTCGCGTGGTTCAAGATATCGGTCAGAAAACTTAATGTCCAGTCTACGTTAGGAGAAATGGCTTCTTTTGAGAGTTTCTGGACAAGTATGGAACTGAGGAACGACATGAACTCGGGAGGAGTCTGGTAGAGAAGACAGTTCTGGTCGTAATTAAGATATGATAATTGTTGTATGATAAATGTGGCCATAGGAAGAGATCTGAATATATGTAGTTGTAAGAATCGAAAATCTTTAGGCGATTGCTTCGAAATGGCCATGATTATCGGAATAACGCGAAAATCTATTTGAGATAAAAAGGAAAGGAGCTGGTTATCGAGTGAAAGGACCATGAAAATAATCTGTGTGCACATGTGGGGGTGCTCTTCTACCGAGTTCTCGATGATTTCCCGGATTTCCCTGTAACTCGCGTGTAAAAAGTTGGAGATCATCGAATGGAGGCCCTCAGTGTGAACCTTGAAGGACCGGGCAAGCTGCTTGTCCCGCCCTTTGTAGTATTCGTGCATCTGTCGGACAATATAAAAATTCAATAATTTGGAATAGAAATCGAAAAGGAGGTAGTTGCACTCTGGCTCGACCACGTAATCTGGGATATCGCATATTTGGGTGGTAAATTCGTGGAAAAGCTTGTAGATTTCGTATAAAATTGAAATATCTGAAGTAATGGAATCAAAGATCTCTTTGTTGGAGAGAACGACTAGGATTTTGTTGAAGAGTTCGTATCTTAACTGCGTTTGCTGAAATGTTTTGCAGAGATAAAAAATTTGATGAGATGTTGAAATTTCTGGGATGTAGGTATACTGCGGAGAGTTGGCAAGTTCATGGGCGTACGAGGATTGAACAATGGCAAGCGGAACAAGCTTGTGAACGAAGGGTTGCTCTAATCCGTACTCCGACCACTCTTTGATCAATCCTGGTATTGGAGGAAGGTTCGACGGGGTCTGGAAATGCATCTGATACTTGTTTCTTGAGTTGTCAATGAAAGATGTGACGTATAAATGGTGTAATCCAATAAGTTGATCGGAAATCACTCGTAGACCACTGGGTTCATCAACTTTGGATTTAATTCTCATCAAATCGGAGGTAAGGAATGATCCAATCTGTTCACTTACGTCTGATAAAATTGATCCTGGTTCATCTTCATAATCTATGAGCCCTGTGGCTGGTAAAGTAATAATACTGTAAAAATCCGAATTAGTTCTTTGAGCACGACCGCGTTTTAAGTTCTTTTTCACAATTTGTCTTCTTTCTAGCTCAATTCCAATAATAGACTGAAGCTGAGAAGGATTTGGAGGTATTACGCAATTCTTCGATATGTTATGGATCCAATTGTACATTGCATCAGCGTATTCTTGATATGTTAAGTATAACTGAGGATTTGGCTTAAGAGGAATGAGCTGCGATGACCAGGTTTTCTCCTTACCAAAGTGGTTGGCAACAGGGATCACCTGATCGCGTGGACCTTTGATTTCAAACTCTGGAGTTGTAATTTCGTTCTCATTGAGGACTGCATCGAGTAAAACCATGTAGTTTTGGGGATAGAGAGCTGTAGTTTTGACATTAAACGACTTTCTAGCTGTACGTTCCTCTAATGATCCTTTAACTTTCTCCATTGGAGTCGGAACATGAGGTTTGACGGGTCTTTGGTAATTAAGGCCCATAGGGACCGGTAAAAACACGGATTTTGATACATTTAACATTGAATTTTGCCATTGTAAAACCATTTTTCGATATTCTTCTTCAGAATCAGCATCAGGATATGGTAGTTTAGAAAGTTTATTGACAGTTAGTAATATTTCTGGTGGAGGAATAGGCTGCCCGTAGACATTTAAAGATTGACCGTTCCTGTCAATGAAAACTAAATTAGTTTGCGAGTCAGGTGGTCTGTCAGGGAGGGCGGTTTCATATGAAGGCTCTTGAAAAGTATAGTCCTTTCCTAGACTGGTGGGAAAGCTTTTCATCAAAAAACCCTCAAATGAAATTTGTCACTTTTATTTCTATTCTAATGAAAATTTTTTTCTTTGGACTTGACTCTACATACGCTAGATTGGATCCACATAGTTAGAAAATAATGATTTTCTACTTAAATTAATGAACTGATATGAAAGAAAGAGAAGATTTCTACAAAACTTTTTGAAATTCGATTCTATTTGGTTCATTGCCAAACAATAGCAAAGTATAACGCTTCGTATCGAAGGAAATTGTTTAAACTCATATAAAAATTTATTATGTTTATGATCGCCATAATTTTCCTTTTCATCACAAAACTAATGGTTGACTTTTCATCTTCATCTTAATTGTAAGCCATATCTCTCTGAGAACTTTAAACCATGACCTAGTCTTTTTTGTTTTGACTTGGTGCACAACTAAGGGGAGTTTTTTTTCCCATATTTAGAATTTCATTCATTCTAATATTAAAAGAGATATAGTTGCGAATTGTGCCATTCAAATCTGACGTTGGAGTTTTATTGTGAATTTGCATTGCCTCACTCACATTTCATCTTTAATTAATACTCCAAGTAAACTGCTGGACAAAAGGCGTAAGTATTCAATTTTAATTACATCCACTGAGCAAAAGGTCTTCACTCCAGAATACTCAGAATGCAAAAGATAGTCAACAAAAGGTGTCCCTCAGTTTACGTAATATTTTTTTTCATTCATTCTGAAAATTCCATCTTGAACATTTTTGATGCAGAAACAGATACTTTAATTTTCTTTTAAATCGAGAATGGTTGTGTTGATACCTTATAGTCTAAATATGATAGAAAACACACACAACATCTCATATATTTATAAAAAAAAATCAAATTAATTTTATAGACGTAAAAAAATTAAATATTTTTTTAATATTATTTCAAGAAATCAGCCAATTTTCCGTATAATTCATCATAACTAGTCTTTGCAGCTTCGAACGCCTTTGCGAATGTTGCGTTAGTTATATCTGCAGCCTGTTTTAGATCTTCAATTCTTCTGTTAATAACACCAAGTAAATTCTTCACCAAATTCTTGAATTCGTCGCATAATTTCTTCTGTGTCGGATTCTGTTCCATATAATTTGCACTCAAATACTGATTTGCAGCCTCAATGATTCCTCTCTTTCCTAAAGCGCCAATAGAACCATTCAAGTGTAGCAAATCCAAATTGATGTCCTTCATCGATGTACCAGAGTTTTCATCAGCATTTAGTTTGGAAGTTTCCTTGATAACTTGCAAACAAATAGCTTCAAGAGGACTGACTTTCTTCCTTATGTTTTCGCTGATTATGCATCTAGAACAAGGACTTGGGAATGTTGTAGCCGTGTGATGGAATTCCTGAGTGAAATCTTTATCATTCACCTTCTGTAGTTCTGCCTTGAATATGTAAGGATTCTTCGATTCCTCCCATTTAAGAAGGAACTCAGGCTTATTCGTGTCTGGATGATAAAGAACGTCTTTTTCGACTTCTTCCGTTACAGGGAAAACCATGTCAATGGAAATGAACAATCTCTCCTTGCCAGCATTCGCTTGGATGTTGCAAGCCCTGTCAATCACCACGGCATCGGGGAAAAGTGTCTTCATCTCTGTCAAAAATTCAGCGTAAGGAACGGTTGAAGGCCGACGATAAATGTACGTTTTTCCAGCTTCTTCCACTTTTGAGACTCCTCCGAAAGAAACTCTGTAGTACTTGGAGTAGTTTCTTTGTCCGGACAACATGTTCTTGTAGATCTGGCTCTCGAGAGTATAGAGCTCAGGAAGAAGCTCGTAATGACGGAATTTGTTCACAACTTTTTCTCTGAAAGTTTTCAGGACATCTATGCCGTATTCGTCGAGGGATTCTTCGGCAAAGAGGTTGAGGACTTTACGGAGAATCTCAATCCATAACAATCTGCCGTTTTTAGGTTCGAATCCGGGTATCGAAATTTTCTCATCGTTGGAGATAGGAATTTCGTCAAGAATCTGAAGGAGTGTGAACGCCTGTTCTATCTTTGACTTGTAGAACTCGTTCAATTGCGCAACTTGTGCAAGATTTTGGATAATAATTTCTTTTGAACCGAGAGATTTACCTAATTCTACGAGTTTGAGGTAGGACTCGATCAGTAAATACTGGTTCGGCTTCGTCTGCTGCAATCTTGTAGACTTTATCGTTGACAAAGCTGAGATACAAAGTTCGCCCAGCTGTTTGTGCTCGTTCTTGTATGGTGTGAATATCTTTGAGATGTTGGAGAAGTGCGGGAGGTTGGAGTACTGCTTCAAAACAGGGAGAATCATGGTAATTAACTGAGGATTCTTCAATTTCTCTTGGAACATCGCATCGATGATGGTAAAGAACATCTTCCTGAGTGACTCCGACTGATAATATGAGTACGCGTGGAAGATATGGCCGAATAAAGCGTCAGATGCGATTTGAGAAGAGGGAAGTTCAGTTAAAAGGTCCGAAAGAACACTGAAATTGGCACCAAAGCCATATGTCTTCTGCTGGATCTGCAAATCAAGTGGAATTCCGGCTGGAGTTGCGGCCAAATAAGCGGATTCGAGGCAAACCTTGAAAATATCCATCATCGCTTCAGGATCTTTGGCCTGGCTCTTCATGAGAACGTTCAATCTCGATTTGTTCTCTTGAAGGAAGAAAATTGTAAGGAATAACCTCAATTTCGGTTCAATAACAGGAGAAGAAAGGGATTTCATAGCAGATTCTATAGGGATGTTCTTCGGGAATTGATAAATGAGTGATAAAATGAAGAATTGGACCTCCATTTTATTAGTTTTTTCACAATAGTTCGAAATGATGTCGAAAAAATCAAGAGGATATGGGTTACGAGATGTGAAATAGATTGTAGCCAACGCATCGATGATCTTTTGCTCCATCTTAGGGTCATTTGCGATCAAATTGATGTCAGTTTTGAAAACAGGTCTCAAAACAGACATAGCGCTTGCTTCATTCCACATTGTTGATGACGCTAAGCCATTAATTAAATTAATTTTGAGATCTAAAATTTCTTGAGGGCTGTCACTTTTTAGTTCACCCATAGAATTGTAAATTTCTAAGAAAATTGTGGCAACTTGTTGGTAATTGTAAACTTTTGTGAGGAATTCCATGATAACATGGATATTCGAAATGAGCTTGTTGATCAGCTGGTTTGGTACATCTTTATCAGTGATGAATTGCGAGATTCTCTTGATAATTGGGCCAATTTTGTTGGCAAACAATGGTTTGGAGCCTCCTTTAGCGGAATCGAAGAGGGAAATACAGAATCCAACAATAAATGGAAGGGCCAGGAAGGTCTGGTTGTAAGTTGGATCAGATTTACGGTCAGGTGCAGTTAATTTCGTAGTTTCTGCAAGGATTTGGTTATAAGCCGCCTTGTAATTACTTGCATCGGCCTTCTCTTGTGTTAATTCGGTATTTATGTACTCAAACAATACACTTTGGTAATTATCTGCTTTTATATCTCCGTAAACCTGATAACAGAGTCGGAAGAACGAATCCAGAGCGTATTGTGTCTCTTCTGTGTTTCCGACTATGAGAGTACAGATTTGTTCGAAGATTTTCTTTGAAAATAATATCCAAACTCCGGCTTTCAAAGTTTGAAGAGCTTGGAGGTTCGGAATAATCGGAGTACCTGGTCTGCAGTACAACAAAGCGTTGATATCTTTGTTCGGTGCAAAGTTCACTGAGTTAATTATCGAATTAATTGTAAGAGTACCGATGGGTTTTCCTGCTTTAGCTGTATCGAGGTTGAAATCTTTGATTTCTTGTGCCGATCCTTTGTAAGAAAGTGGGAAAATTTGGTAATTTCCGTCTCCAAGGATTTTTACAGCTCCGTTCTGATCAGTAAGCTTGATTACTGATTGGCCGAATGCCGATAATGACTTTCCGATATGTCCTGTGCGCTGGAATTCGATGCAAAGGTATAAATTGTCCAATTTCGAAGTGTAATTAGAGATATCGGTAGTAACTACTTCATCGAGAGTGAGTTCCTTTTGTCCTTTGATGACCAATGAGTGCCATTCTGTTTCTGTGTAAGCTGATTTCGGATCAACTTGGATTTTCTTTGGCAAAATCGGGAGGAATTTGTTTGTTGAAGCGTCAAGCATTCTGACTATGTACATGAATGAGTTTCTGCTGGCGTCCTGCTCGATATTGACAAATCGGAACGTCAATGAAGATCTGTTGAAGTTAAACGAAACGATACTTGGTAATTTGTATGGCATGACCGTAAATGTGTTCTTCGCAGAGTTACTTTGGATCATATCGTATTCGCCATTGAAAGCTGTACAGTCAAGACTGAAAGCAATTGAATCGTGGATTAAATTATGAGGTGAAATGGCAATGGCTGTATGGAGATTAGGGTGATAATCGTTACCGTAAGCGTAAGCAGTGCATTGTGAAGTAATAGACTTTTCGTAAGGGTTTGAACGGAACTTGAGCTGAGCGCTAGCACATGCGCGAGGTATTCTCTGCTCTGGTTGGTCTTTTGTAGCTGCTTTGATGTTATCAATAAAAATGACTACGTATAATGGAGAATTAAAGATATATTCATCGAGTTGAATGAACTGGAGATCAACTTCAGGACGTTCTGGTGTTAATATAGTTGAAAATTGTTGAGATGCCCAAGGAGAATAATTAATATGTCCAGAATAAAGGGCAAAACGGAATTGCTGGGGTTGTACAAGGTTTTTTATATTAACATGTGCTGCGATCATGACGTGCTCTGTTGGTTTTGGTTTGTGTGATGGGATAAAGGCGCATCTGGATAAATAGTGGTCTAAACCCCAGGAAGAGATTGTTTGCGGGGAATAGTTTCCACAGCGGAAGGTATCTGGAAGACCTAATGCATCACGGATGTTTTTAATCTTCAAACCAAGCGATGTATGTCCAAATTCTATAAATTGTTCTTGATTTTTATCTTCAAAACTCTGATAAATCTGAACAATTTCTTGGATGGAGTCAAAAACTTGCAGGACATATGATGCTGGAAGGGTAGCGTACTGTTGTAAAGCGACATTTAAAGTCAAATATGAATCGTAAATCAAAAGGTCTTCTGGCATTGCTAAATATTGTTTATTATTAATAGCAGGTAATTTACGGAAATTTGCACAAACTTTCGGGAAAATTCCTGAACGTTGTGTGTTCAAATTTGTACCAAGAAACCAATCATTAGTTTCTTCGAAGATTTCGATGGGATCGCCCGCTAAAACAGACATTTGCTTTGGGCCACTCGCAATATATGTATGGTGAATGACCGCAACGCCATGAGTAGTTTTCCACATTTGATATCACTTTTTTAATTGAATCGTTGGATTCAAAAAATAAGAGTCATTTATCATTCAAAGACTAGTTTCAAAAATCTATTTGTCATTTTATTATTCAATTTGTAACAGGTGTCAAATTTTTCTGACAAACCATTTCAATTTTTGAAATATAAAATTTTTGATTTCCCATAATAATTATTCAACACATCATGCTTAACATTTTCGCAAAATTTGAATAAAAAATCATATGATTTGGATTCATGTAAGCATATTCAACTACAATGGAATTACATCAAATGCAATTTGGTTTGTTAGGTTGTTTAATGATTTAATAACTTTCTTCAAAATTTGGTGAAATTTCAAATAATTAGACTCATAAATTGAAACATGATGAGGAAAAATGATTCTATCTTTTGGCAGAGCTGAAAATATGTGAGGTCGATACATTAAAGTCTTATTTGAGAAGATCATGAAACTTACTTCCCAAATTTTTTAGTGAAAAATTTCTAGTTCCCATAAAAATGGGAATTGTTCAGGCTGATATTATGCAATTCTCCCTTCTTTGACTTCGTTCTAGCAATCTTTGCTTGGAGCTTTGTAAGGAGATGATATTTGTTTCCATTTGTTCCGACAATTGATCTCAATTGCTTGAAGAATTAGAAAAAAAGTATTTCATTTGAACATTATTAACTCTATACAATTTCTTCGATGAACTTTCATCCTGAGCACCTCAAAAATATTGTTAAAAGCATTCAAAGATGAATTCGGAAAATGCATTTTAGGCAATGTACTTCATTTATTGTGGCTGTGATAAAGAATTAAAGTATAATTGTGTATCTACTCCACTCATTCGTGCATTCATAAATAGTCAACTTGGGGCTAATAAAGACATTCAATGACTTCAAGATTACCGTTTCTTGATGCCCGAACTAGCGAAGTCCTTCCTTCATTATCCTTTAATTCTTTATTAGCTCCAATTTAGGTATCTTTTACAACAATTTCATGATGATCTTTTTCTGATGCATTAATAGGTGGAGTCCTTCCATCATAATTTTTGTAACTTTATTAGCTCCAACAACTCAATAAACTCTAGTATTTATTTTGAGTTCATCAAATACTAATGAAACAAAATCTTATTTAATATGCACTATAAATAAACATATCTTTAAACAAACAAACAATTTAAACGTAAAATCTGTCTTGCATTTCCTGCTGAAGGATTTGTATCAGAGCTTTAAGATCAGTTACTTCATTTTCTAAATATTCAACTCTAGAAGCTAAATCTTTTTCTTCTTTCTTTACAGGTTTTGATTGAATGCTAACAGATTCTTCATCCAAATCGCAAAGAATTAAATCATCATTAGGAATACTGATCATTGATATGTGATCCTTGTTTATGGAAGGTTTGTCGATCAAATCGTCAAAATTATCCAAATTATTTTCTTCTATCGATTTCCTTCTAAGGCTCTGCTTCTTAACAGAAATAACGTCATCAAGATTATCTGTAGCATCAAGGGAATTTGATGTATGAGGAATTGCATCGATTTTCTGTTCAATATCATCAGAATGGACGTCAACAACGCTTGACCCATCATTGAGATCTATTTTGGCCGTATCTATTGATGATCTTCTTGGATTTGAATCTTCTTTTAGTTGAATTTGGAAAATTACAGGGGAATCAATATTAATTTGCAGCTTTGGCTTGGTGTTGGTTTCAAGTTTAACTTCATTTAATGAACTAGAAGCTGTAATTCTTGTTTCAATATTATTTACAATTTTCATCACTTCTGTTTCAGTTTGTAAGAATGATTCCGTATCTATTGATGATTGTTCACTCTTAACTGATGTATTATCACTGTTATTGGATATAGATTTCCGAGTAAAAATCGGAATTCTTGTTTTCTTTGGAGAAGTTGGCGTTTTTGGATGTTTTTCAGTAGGTGATTGGATAGGAGTAGGCTGTTTTTTGTTTGGAGCATTTTCTATTGTGATATTCGGAGGTTTATTATCGTTGACTTTTTTCGGCGATTCGACATTAGTTGGAACATATTCCTTTTCTGGTGTTTCTTCAAATTGAAATGAACTTTTCGGAGACTGACTCGTGTTTTCTGATAAAGAATAATTAAAAGATTGATTTTCTTTAATTTCTTGTAGTTTGATTAAATGTTCTGCTAACTGTTGGGCTACTAAATAATCTTCTTTTTCAATTGCTAATTCATGCCTTTCATGCAAAATTAATTCAATTTTTGGAATTGCAGATGGTTTTATTGCTTCCAATTCACAACCATCAAGTAAAGAATCAACTACTGCATTTAATTTGGTTCTTTCATTAGCAGTTAAACTTACTTTTGGTGAAGATTGATTTGAATTTGATGAATTTAACTCTGACATATTAGAAAGAGTAGTTAAATGTTTATCTATTTTAGCTAATAATTCTTGGTCATTACTTATAAAAGCTTTCTTTCTTCTTTTTCGCAGTGATAATCGAATTTGTTGAATTTGATCAAGAGTTAAATCAGAAGGAATGTCATCATTTGCTAGTATATCATCCACAAGTAATGATTTGTCCTTCTGTTGTTTAGTTTTTGTCCGATTTTTACGCTTCAAAATAAGTTTATAAAAAAAATTTATAACGCTTTTACAAAATCTTAGGAAAAAATGGATTTTCAGCAGGTCGGCACTGACCCAATATCATTCAACACAAGTATCACACGCGTTAATGCAAGGCCTCTGATTCATACATCTAGAAAAATCCAAAGAATTTTCAGTATTAAAGCAGATGAAAAAGATGAAGTCGAAATGAACATTGATTGCCCATTTCCAGAAGAAGTGTTTCAGTTGTTTGCACTGATGTCAGCTCAAGACAGACCAGAATTTAAGATACATAATGTTTTTAAAATTTTATGCGTTGCAGATTACTTTGAAAACTATGAACTCAAGCAAAAAGCAATGGAATTCGCCAGAAAACAAGTTGAACCTCAATACTGCGTTGAAATTTTCAATCATTACGTTAAAATTAACTGGAGATGGCTAGAACCATTTTATGAATTGTTCGCACTTGACATTACAAAGTACATTGAAAGAGAAGACTTTGCACTGATAGATATTAATCATTTAGTTAGAATTCTCCATAGAAATGAAATTCAACAATTGCCTCCAGAAACAATCACTAGATTTGCAATAGCAGAAATAGAAAGGTACAAACGTCCTGATGCCGTCAAAATGATTAACTTTACAACACTTGATGAACGAAATATCAGAAAAATTTCAGAACTTTTACAGAACCATGGCTTCAAAGGTCATGCATACATGGTATATTCCATCCTTAAGATGAGAAAATCATATCCTACTGACAATATTCCTACACAGCTCTTACTTAAGTGCCCATTCAAAGGTAATTACTTTAATGGTATTTTTTCAAGCCTCAAAGAGACCACGAAGTCTAAAAATCTTATTCTTGATGGAATTATTTCATTTAATTCGAGTTCAAATGATCCATTGTCAATTGTCGTTCCTTTAGCACAAAGAAAGTGGTGTTCATCGGATAGAAAAGAATGTAGTATCATGTTCAACCTCCAGAAGTGTCGTGCTGTCGTTACTGGTTATCGTATCAGATCATCTTATGACAGATTCCCTCTTGGCTGGAAAGTTGAAGGCTCTACGGATGGTGGAGATAGTTGGTATTTGATTGACGCTAAGAAAGACTGTTATGATATCGCAGAACCAAATAAAACTAAAATTTATAACATTGATGCTTCATATATTGAAGAATTCAATGTTATAAGGATCACACAAACCCAACCTAATATCGAAGGTACCAACGTTTTTGCTTTAAACCATTTCGATATTTACGGTACATTAATAACAGGAACAGAATCCGAAACTTTTGGTATTAATGAAGACATGGTATATAATAATGCTATATTATCTTCTTTAAATGAGCGAAACATGCTTTTGGCGACATCATCTGCAAATTCTCCACATTTACTCTTAGAATACTATAGATTTGAACCTTGGCAATCCATGGAAGAAGATGAAAATCCAGCTCTTACATTTGATTTCAAGTCTCATAGAGTAAATTTAATCGGTTACCTTTTGAGAACTTCAAATCTCCCTGCGAACGGTGGAAATCCAATATCATGGGATTTCCTTGTTGGAGATACTCTTGAAACAATGAGAGTTGTCCATTCTGTTAGAGATAATTATAATCTTGACTCTCCTTACTTCTTCATGTATTTCTCAATTGCCAATCCAATCAATAGATACTTTAGATATGTCCAATTTAAGATGATTGGTCCAAATTCAATTGGAACAAACATGTTAACTCTCGATGCAATAGAATTCTACGGAGACCTCTTAACTTCAATGGGTGAAGAGAGATGTATGAAATAAAGCTTTATTTATCTGTTTGATTTTAATTTGGAAAATTGATTTTGCAATTTTTTTTTCTTGAGGTTTTTTGTGATGCGAAAAATGTCGTTCGCTCATATATCTCTGCATAGAAAAGACTTTTATCGAGCAAGATTTTGGCTGTAAAGACAATTCTATGAAAGAGAGTTTATTATCTTCAATTTTTTTTGGTTATTCATAGATTCATATACTAGGGACACAAATTGAGACGCGAAAAGCAAATTGAGAGGGAAAAACCTTTCAAAATTTTGTAAACTTTTAAATTTTATCCCAAAAATCGCGTTCCTATTTTTGACCTATTCAATTAATAATTTTAGTTTAAATAAAAAATAATTGTTTAGTCTAACAACGACATTATTTTGGAATAGGAAACAAGACGATTTAAAGACTTCAAATTTTTTCAGTTCGTTATTTTGGTGATACACAAATAAAATTAGAATCTATTCTATGTGTCTTATAGAATTTTATATAAAAAATGAATTTAAAATTTTCTGAGGGCCAAACTTTTCCGCGAATATTAGATATTTGTAAGTGTTAATGTTCAAAATGGTGCTAATGTTTTACATTAATCAATATTATAGCAAGTATTTGATTAGAAATTTTCTGAGGAGAAACTCGCATTTCGAAATATTGAGATTTTTTATGATTCTCCAACAAAAATAAATTTGTTGTGTATCATGATAGTTTATTCTATCACCAATTTCGTTCACAAGATTTCTGAAGATTATTGCATTTCTTGAAAAGTTGAATATTTTCACTACCTGAGCGTGAAATACTTTTTTAGAACTGTAGTAATAGATAAAATTCATGTTTTGATGACAAAATCCTCAACATTAGCATGAGAGAAAAAAATTATGAGAATTTTTAAGGGTGCGCTCCGAGGATTACGGTTTTTTATCCTCCCAAAAAAATATGAAAAAAATCCTTGTACTTTTGGTACCTTGAAGTTGAAAAAAATTAGGAAAAAATCAACTCGAGGCCATATTATTTGGATACAAGGGACAGTTATTCTCCTGCATGTAAACTTGCTCAAACCATTTCTTTGACCAAGATGCAAGTTTAATCTCATCAAACGATTAGTTTAACGCGATAACCAACAAGTACACTCGTTTGTATCCTTACATGTAATACTAATTACACACACAGATGTTAATTATTCGTTAATTACAAAACAAATTATGAGTAATTTTTATCAAATTGTCTCGATATCGAAGATCATACTCCGAGCATTGATATGTTGTATAATGTTTTTATAAAGATCTCATTACTTTTATTTTTTATTGAATTTTTAATTTTTTTGGAAATGTAGATAAGTAATTAGCCTAATGAAAGAAACAAAGAATAGTTTTCTTGTAATAGCACTAAATAATGATATTTTATTCATTACAATACTACACGAAGATTAGCAAAAATAAATTCTACCAATTTCCGTGTAATAAGAAAGGAAAATATTTGTAATTTTATGTGACATTTGAATTGAGATGATTCTTGTCAAAAAACGACGAATACATTAAAATGTAATTTCGAAAATTATGTTAAATTCTAAATTTATTGAGCAAATTAAAACCAAGATCCTCTATACATCAAAGTGTTTAACAAGTTTGTTTGGCGTGACTACGCATTGAACTGAATTTCAACAAAGTTAAATATAAAAAGAGGATTAAAAATTGAATATCTCTTTCAAAAGTGCTCATTGAAAAAATATATGTATAAAAAGGGTAGATTACATATACCAATAGTATGTTAATGATATTTTTCGCATTAATTTTCAACAAAATCAAATTTTCAACCTCGGAGCGCAGGGCATGTTTTTTCAAAATTTTCGAGTCTCTCAATTGCTTTTTCGACGGATATTGAATTTTTCTGAATTTAAATAATATAAATAGCATATAGGTACATAGTATAATGCAATGGAAAGGAAAGAATTGAGAAAAATCACGATTTGAGAACTTTAAAATTTTCTCCATAGGAAAAAAAAGAAAAAATTCGATTTTTTTTGATCTCGGAGAAAAGTCAGTGAATATCAAATGATAGAGTATAGTTTTTATTCTTATATATCAGATCATTATTGGTATTCTATTTTCATCTTTACTTCTAAAAAATCATTTGAGGAAATGCCAATTTTTGGTCATCATTATTTTTAGGAGGATAAGACTTTTGATAGAGCTCTCAGAAAAAATTGAGCATTTTTAATCCTCGGAGCGCACCCTTAAACGGCCAATATCGATCTTTGCATTCAAGTATAAAATTCTAGAAGCATGATAAACAATCGAAATGTTTCATATATGAATAATAGATCTGAAGCTAAAATAAAAATTCTTTAATCAAATTGGAATATTGCAATTAAAAACTGTGCACTCGCGCATAATTTATAATAACACAGGGATATGTGATATTCAAGGCTATTATTTTTCAATCATTTATAAAAAATTCGGGATGAAACCACATTGATGCCGAATCTGTCATCAAGAACAATAAAAAATTGTATAAAACTAAGATAAAACCATATCTAAGCATTTGTACTTTAAAATGATATCAATTACAAATTGAGATAAACTAAATTATAAAAATTTCGTATTTAAATAATAGAATTGTTATAGCAATAACAACTATCTTATGATTTCATATTAATTTCTAATTAAATCTCTTGAATTTTTGTTTCAAATTTACAATTGGCCAAAAGAACGAAATAGAAAGATAATCTACTATATTTAGGAAATTGAAATTTTATTCTTTAGATTCGAATGTCTTTTGGATTGTTGATAATGTGATGAGAATTTCAAGTTCACATATAGAGATAATTTATTTTACAAAACAAAAATTCTCGGACATACGATTATTTTTGATTCAAATGCTGTTCGGCATTAAAAGCAAAAATAATCATATACCTGAGAATTACACTTTTCCGACATTTTTGTGTCGCTTCGCACCCCTGACAAAACATCGGAAAAGTTTAAATTTTAATGGCTTGAACCAACTCAGAATTCATGCTATCATGTACCAATTTTGGGACCAATTTTTCCGTGGCCCTTTTAGATTCTGTTAGAAAGACCAGAATGTCTTGTCCGTTCTAACTACATGCTTCAATTATGCAAATTCAATTTCAGATTATCTTTTGGAAACTAACAATTTCTTTTTCCACGTCATGATTGAGGTCACCGCGGCCTTCCCTTACGCGCTTTCTTCCTTATTAGAAAGTTTATGAAGTTTACATATTGTCACCTTATACAAATTATCGATTCAATAGTGTAATTCAATAATTCTTTTTCATTCAAAATTCTGAAACCTAAAAAAATATATTACCACTTTTTCATAGGATTTGTAAAAAAAGTGAGTTAAAAAAGAGACTTTTTATTCTAAAATAAATATAGAATTTTAGCCTGCTACATAGGCCATTTGAAGAGTGTAGGATTGGCTTAAGTTGGAAAATCGGGCGAATCTAGGATAATATTTACGAATTACAATCCGAATAAGCTTGAATCGGATAATACTCGGTTGGTAGGATGTAGGGATGACGCTGGATTCTTACCTAGTATGTTGTAATAGGAAATTTTAATGGATTAGTTAAGATAATGATCACAAATTCATGAAATTTTCAAAGCGGTTTGATCGTCATTGGTTTTTAAAAATTTGTATTTTTACTAATAAAAGAGTTATAAATATAAATAGTGACAATTTTTTGAGAGGCTTCGCCTCTCAAAAAATAATTGATCAAATTTAAGGGTGCACACGAAAGGATCATGTAAACTTCAGAATTTAGAACCTTATTTTTAGGCATTATCTTGGCTACCTATTTAGGCTCGAAAAGCAAAAAATATCAAAAAATACAACTTGACTCCATTATGACCCTTTCATGGAGGTAGTTTTTATCCGCTAGTATTTTCCCTTTGAATCTCTTTACAATTCGAAATCAAATTCAAACCTCAGTAGAAGAAAGGAAGAATCGACTTACTACGGTTGTAATACGAATAAATACATATCTTTAATTATTTTTATTTACATAATAATTGTTTGAAGCTCATATTCCATCAAATTTTTAAATAAAAACATTAAAATGTTGAAAATGTTCATATATTTTAATAGGGTTTTGGCACTTTATTGAGGAATTACTACATACATAGTCGAACTGAACTTGATATTTTGAAATTTAAATTATTTATCAAAATTAAAATTTAACTTGAAATTTATAATTATTTAGTCATATTTTGCATAATTCTAAGTAGATTTTGTAAAAAATCAAGAAAGAAAAATTTTAACGTGCTTTATTTTTTCTTTTTTATAATAATACATATTATTATATAATTAACATGTTCATAATGTTTCACCCTTTCAAAAATATAATCCTCCTCCTCTCAAATAAACGTACATACGGGTGGCCTCTTTTTTCAAAAAATTAAAATTTGAAATTTTGGGCTCAAATATTAGAGATTTTTTCAACCTTCAACGATATATGTTGTCTATATCAGACCTCCTTTCTTTTTGATACTTAACATTGTTCCTAAATCTTAGTCGTTAAGGCTGTTCTGAAAATATTTTTTTTTCGAAAAAATTCGAAAAAAATTCTTAAAATTCAAAAATCCCTTAATTCCTGAGGATTTTGGAAAAAAGTTTTTACATGAACATGTGTATATTATATGAAGTATATTGATAAGGTAAAAATCAAATTTTATTGCATATTCATCGAGAAAATAAACTAACGAATCCCTCAAAATTGAGAGGGTAATCCTCCTCCTCTCAAATAAACGTACATACGGGTGCACCCTTAATAAAGTGTGGGGATAACATAGTTATGCATGTTCCCGAATTTTGAAGGAAAAAGAATTCCAATATATATACCACTTTTTCAGAGCTTTAGCTCTGAAAAAGTGGTATATATTTTAAATATTATTGAAGTTTACATATTGTCACCTTTTGACCCTCATCAAAAATTTTGGTTTAATTGTAAAGTTTTCATAGTGTCACCTTATATAAAATTATGTTTA